CAGTCTGTGTACCAAGGCTGTACCCACAGTCTGTGTACCAAGGCTGTACCCTCAGTCTGTGTACTAAGACTGTACCCTCAGTCTGTGTACCAAGGCTGTACCCACAGTCTGTGTACCAAGACTGTACCTCAGTCTGTGTATCAAGACTGTACCCGCAATCTGTGTACCAAGACTGTACCCACAGTCTGTGTACCAAGGCTGTACCCACAGTCTGTGTACCAAGGCTGGACCCTCAGTAAGTGTATCAAGGCTGTACCCACAGTCTGTGTACAAGGCTGCACCCACAGTCTGTGTACCAAGAATGTACCCACAGTCTGTGTACCAAGCCTGGACCCTCAGTCTGTGTACCAAGGCTGTACCCACAGTCTGTGTACCAAGGCTGTACCCACAGTCTGTGTACCAAGACTGTACCCACAGTCTGTGTACCAAGGCTGTACCCTCAGTCTGTGTACCAAGGCTGTACCCTCAGTCTGTGTAGCAAGGCTGTACCCTCAATCTATGTACCAAGACTGTACTCACAGTCTGTACCAAGGCTGTACCCTCAGTCTGTGTAGCAAGGCTGTGCCCTCAATCTGTGTACCAAGGCTGTACCCACAGTCTGTGTACGAAGGCTGGGCCCTCAGTCTGTGTACCAAGGCTGGGCCCTCAGTCTGTGCACCAAGGCTGGACCCTCAGTCTGTGTACCAAGGCTGTACCCTCAGTCTGTGTACCAAGACTGTGCCCTCAATCTGTGTACCAAGGCTGTACCCACAGTCTGTGTACCAAGCCTGGGCCCTCAGTCTGTATACCAAGGCTGGGCCCTCAGTCTGTGTACCAAGGCTGTACCTTCTGTCTGTGTAATAAGGCTCTACCCACAGTCTGTGTACCAAGGCTGTGCCCTCAGTCTGTGTACCAAGGCTGTACCCACAGTCTGTATACCAAGACTGGGCTCTCAGTCTGTGTACCAAGGCTGTACCCAAAATCTGTGTACCAAGGCTGGACCCTCAGCCTGTGTACCAAGGCTGCACCTTTAGTCTGTTCACCACAACAAGGAGGGCGAGGCAGAGTGCACACCTTGTGCACCACAACAAGGAGGGGGAGGCAGAGTGCTCACCTTGTGCGCCATAACAATGAAGGGGAGGCAGAGTGCTCATCTTGTGCACCATAACAATGAAGGGGAGGCAGAGTGCTCATCTTGTGCACCACAACAAGGAGGGCGAGGCAGAGTGCTCACCTTGTGCACCACAACAATGAAGGGGAGGCAGAGTGCTCATCTTGTGCACCACAACAAGGAGGGCGAGGCAGAGTGCGCATCTTGAAAATGTACAGAGGAGGATGACAAAGATGATCTCATATATCAGAAATCTTCCCTATGAGGATAGACTGAGGGCCCTGAATCTGTACTCTCTCGAAAGGCGTAGAATTAGGGGGGATATGATCTAGGTGTATAAATGGAAAACAAGAATAAATAAAGGGGATGTAAATAGCGTGCTGAAAATTTCCAGCCATGACAGGACTCGCAGCAATTGTTTCAAGTTGGAAAAATTCAGATTCAGGAAGGATATAGGAAAGTACTGGTTTGGTAATAGAGTTGTGGATGAGTGGAACAAACTCCCGAGTACAGTTATTGAGGCTAAAACGTTGTGTAGTTTTAAAAATAGGTTAGATAAATACATAAGTGGGTGTGGGTGGGTGTGAGTTGGACCTGACTAGCTTGTGCTGCTGGGTCTGGTGCCGTGCTCCATCCTTGAGTGGAGGTGACCAGGACTGGGTGAGTCATTGGGCTAATCCGGGGACGACATGGACCTGCTCCGCATGGGTCAGTAGACCTGTTCCAGTGTTCCTTCTTTCTTATGTTCTTACAACAAGGAAGGCGAGGCAGAGTGCACATCTTGTGCACCACAACAAGGAAGGCGAGGCAGAGTGCACATCTTGTGCACCACAACAAGGAAGGCGAGGCAGAGTGCACATCTTGTGCACCACAACAAGGAAGGCGAGGCAGAGTGCATATCTTGTGCACCACAACAAGGAAGGCGAGGCAGAGTGCACATCTTGTGCACCACAACAAGGAAGGCGAGGCAGAGTGCACATCTTGTGCACCACAACAAGGAAGGCGAGGCAGAGTGCACATCTTGTGCACCACAACAAGGAAGGCGAGGCAGAGTGCACATCTTGTGCACCACAACAAGGAAGGCGAGGCAGAGTGCACACTAAATATGACGACAAAAAATATTTCAACAGATTTAATAATTATTACATTCAAGGGAAAGCGTTAAATCCTTATGGATCATACAGCGTCTGTGGAACAGGATTCGTCAGATTTGATCCCAGGAAGAGCACGTGTATATAGTGTAGACCTCATCTATATAAAAAATTACAATCAAGATGAATATATATATATTTGTAATATATTATATTATATATATTATAATATATATATATATAATATATATATATATATATAATATATATATATATAATATATTATATATTATTATATATATATATGTCGTGCCGAATATGTAAAACTGGTCAATTAGCAAGAACTCATTTAAAATTAAGCCGTTTCTAAAATTTTCTCTTATACGTTTATAGATATATTTTTTTCATTAAAGTTGATGTAAAAAATTTTAATTTTTCACCAAAAGAATCTTAGAAAACTTACCTAACCTTATTATAACAAGAACAATTTATTTTAGCCTAACCCAACTAAATATATGTTAGATTTGTTTACAATAATTTAATACTAAACAAACACAGTGAAATATATTTTTTTTCGTTAGGTTAAGAATGATTTTGGCGAAATTATTGCATACACAAATTTTCGCTTGTCTTATATGGCAAGATGAGCGTTGCTATTTAAGCCAAGATCGCAAGTTCTGCCTATTCGGCACGACATATATATATATGTGTGTGTGTGTGTGTGTGTGTGTGTGTGTGTGTGTGTGTGTGTATGCACTCGATCTCATGCTCCTTCATTTCATTTTTTCTTTTTCTTTTTCTCAGTCTGTCTGTCTGTCTCTCACTCTCATTTAGCCACAGCAACAACTCAGCAAACTAACACAGCATCTCGGAGACCATCTAGCGTAATACTGGCTGTTCATTACTTCACTTTTCTTCAAGCGTCCTCTAACTCATCTAGAGCTTATAAGAGCTTAATCTTAAGCAAAGGGAAGTATATTATTAATACATAACAAAGGTTCTCATGCACTGTTCTTGCCTCCACTATTCTCTGTGCATGAATCAAAATAGTCCACGTGTGTCATCAGCATTTTCACTTAAGCTCAAAGAAGAATCTTACGATGGAAATATATGTAATACCGAAAAATTGACGAGTTAAAGACATGTGCAACACTTAGGCATCTTTACTGATGAAACGTTTCGCCTGCTCAGGAGGCTTCATCAGTTTTGTCTGTAATGATGCCTAAGTGGTGTCTTGCTCGTTAACAGTCTCAAGTGCTTCCTTCCTGAGCCATAACCATACTGGTACTTCACTTGTTGCCATTGATGAGTTGCAACTGAAGGTAATTCAGTGTTTCAGTTCTTGGGCCCACACTGTTTCTGGCCAGCCAGTTCTTCCTCGGCGCTTCTCCATGGTAGCGCCGTCCGAAACAGAGGTGTTGGTGGAGGAGGAGGAGGAAGAGGAGGAAGATGCGGTGAAGGCGACGACGGTAGAGGTTGTGGAGGTGGAGTGGGCAGCTACCTCACGACTTCTCTCACCTGGAGTGGCAGGTTCAGTGTCCATATCACTGTCGTCCTAAGGAGAAACACAAGAGCTGCAGTTATTGTGTTGTGCTTGACGTCGTAATGTCTGGTAGAGTTTGTCGAGTGGTGGCAGGGTGTGTGAATAGTGGTGGCAGGATGTGTGAAAAATGATGGAAGGGTGTATAAACAGTGATAGCAGGATGTATGAACAGTGATGGCAGGGTATGTGAACAGTGATGGCAGGGTGTGTGAACATTGATGACAGGGTGTGTGAACATTGATGACAGGGTGTGTGAACATTGATGGCAGGGTGTGTGAACAGTGATGGCAGGGTGTGTGAACATTGATGACAGGGTGTGTGAACATTGATGACAGGGTGTGTGAACAGTGATGGCAGGTGTGTGAACAGTGATATATATATATATATATATATATATATATATGTGTGTGTGTGTGTGTGTGTGTGTGTGTGTGTGTGTGTGTAAAGCAACTACTGTGAAAAAAAATTAGTGAGATTCTAAGCCCTTTCGTGATTTCTCACATTATCAAGGGCCTGTAAAAATAATAGAAATAACTAATGAGCTAAAATGCCCAAAATACTTAACTGATATATCCTTTAAAATTGTTAGAAATACATTTAACAATTCAGACAGTTGCAAACAGTCATATTCAACCAATAATATGCTGGTTCTCCCTTACCATAAAAACATTTTTGATATACCTTCTATACTAAGAATTTTTAAAAGTCATAGTTGTATTTAAAAATCTTGATTGAGTAAAAAAAAATTTTTGATTAAAAATTCCCCCCAAAAATGCTGATGGCTCTTTCTGCAAGACTCCCTGTAATAAAATGCAATATAGTTTATTACGGTCAAACTGGAAAAAGCCTTGAACTAAGATTACAGTAACAAATAGAGCATTAAACTGGACAAGAGTCTAAAGCTGTGTTTATTCATGTGAGAGATTGTAACCATCCCATTGATTTTCGACAGGCCAGGAAAGTTGTATCAGGCAGGTCCATGCTTGACAGAAATATAATTGAATTAAGCTTCAGAAAAAATAGTTTCGATTTTAATGTGAATATTGGTTTAGTATTAAACAGATTAATTTATAATTAATAAAATTTAATCTGTGTTTGAAAAATTAGATTCATAAAATTTGGGAAGAATTTAAGTAATGTTTGACAGGTTCTTGACCATCCCACCCGCATCACAATGGGATGGGTGTAATGTTTGACAGGTTCTTGACCATCCCACCCGCATCACAATGGGATGGGTGTAATGGTTTGACAGGTTCTTGACCATCCCACCCGCATCATAATGGGATGGGTGTAATGTTTGACAGGTTCTTGACCATCCCACCCGCATCACAATGGGATGGGTGTAATGTTTGACAGGTTCTTGACCATCCCACCCGCATCACAATGGGATGGGTGTAATGTTTGACAGGTTCTTGACCATCCCACCCGCATCATAATGGGATGGGTGTAATGTTTGACAGGTTCTTGACCATCCCACCCACATCACAATGGGATGGGTGTAATGTTTGACAGGTTCTTGACCATCCCACCCGCATCATAATGGGATGGGTGTAATGTTTGACAGGTTCTTGACCATTCCACCCGCATCATAATGGGATGGGTGTAATGCTTGACAGGTTCTTGACCATCCCACCTGCATCACAATGGGATGGGTGTAATGTTTGACAGGTTCTTGACCATCCCACCCGCATCATAAATGGGATGGGTGTAATGTTTGACAGGTTTCTTGACCATCCCACCCGCATCACAATGGGATGGGTGTAATGTTTGACAGGTTCTTGACCATCCCACCCGCATCATAATGGGATGGGTGTAATGTCTGACAGGTTCTTGACCATCCCACCCGCATCACAATGGGATGGGTGTAATGTTTGACAGGTTCTTGACCATCCCACCCGCATCACAATGGGATGGGTGTAATGTTTGACAGGTTCTTGACCATCCCACCTGCATCATAATGGGATGGGTGTAATGTTTGACAGGTTCTTGACCATCCCACCCGCATCACAATGGGATGGGTGTAATGTTTGACAGGTTCTTGCCATCCCACCCGCATCATAATGGGATGGGTGTAATGTTTGACAGGTTCTTGACCATCCCACCCGCATCACAATGGGATGGGTGTAATGTTTGACAGGTTCTTGACCATCCCACCCGCATCACAATGGGATGGGTGTAATGTTTGACAGGTTCTTGACCATCCCACCCGCATCATAATGGGATGGGTGTAATGTTTGACAGGTTCTTGACCATCCCACCCACATCACAATGGGATGGGTGTAATGTTTGACAGGTTCTTGACCATCCCACCCGCATCATAATGGGATGGGTGTAATGTTTGACAGTTCTTGACCATTCCACCCGCATCATAATGGGATGGGTGTAATGCTTGACAGGTTCTTGACCATCCCACCTGCATCACAATGGGATGGGTGTAATGTTTGACAGGTTCTTGACCATCCCACCCGCATCATAATGGGATGGGTGTAATGTTTGACAGGTTCTTGACCATCCCACCCGCATCACATGGGATGGGTGTAATGTTTGACAGGTTCTTGACCATCCCACCGCATCATAATGGGATGGGTGTAATGTCTGACAGGTTCTTGACCATCCCACCCGCATCACAATGGGATGGGTGTAATGTTTGACAGGTTCTTGACCATCCCACCCGCATCACAATGGGATGGGTGTAATGTTTGACAGGTTCTTGACCATCCCACCTGCATCATAATGGGATGGGTGTAATGTTTGACAGGTTCTTGACCATCCCACCCGCATCACAATGGGATGGGTGTAATGTTTGACAGGTTCTTGACCATCCCACCCGCATCATAATGGGATGGGTGTAATGTCTGACAGGTTCTTGACCATCCCACCCGCATCACAATGGGATGGGTGTAATGTTTGACAGGTTCTTGACCATCCCACCCACATCACAATGGGATGGGTGTAATGTTTGACAGGTTCTTGACCATCCCACCCGCATCACAATGGGATGGGTGTAATGTTTGACAGGTTCTTGACCATCCCACCCGCATCACAATGGGATGGGTGTAATGTTTGACAGGTTCTTGACCATCCCACCCGCATCATAATGGGATGGGTGTAATGTTTGACAGGTTCTTGACCATCCCACCCACATCACAATGGGATGGGTGTAATGTTTGACAGGTTCTTGACCATCCCACCAGCATCACAATGGGATGGGTGTAATGTTTGACAGGTTCTTGACCATCCCACCCGCATCACAATGGGATGGGTGTAATGTTTGACAGGTTCTTGACCATCCCACCCGCATCATAATGGGATGGGTGTAATGTCTGACAGGTTCTTGACCATCCCACCCGCATCACAATGGGATGGGTGTAATGTTTGACAGGTTCTTGACCATCCCACCCGCATCACAATGGGATGGGTGTAATGTTTGACAGGTTCTTGACCATCCCCCCGCATCACAATGGGATAGTGTGTAATGTTTGACAGGTTCTTGACCATCCCACCAGCATCACAATGGGATGGGTGTAATGTTTGACAGGTTCTTGACCATCCCACCCGCATCACATGGGATGGGTGTAATGTTTGACAGGTTCTTGACCATCCCACCAGCATCACAATGGGATGGGTGTAATGTTTTGACAGGTTCTTGACCATCCCACCCGCATCACAATGGGATGGGTGTAATGTTTGACAGGTTCTTGACCATCCCACCAGTATCACAATGGGATGGGTGTAATGTTTGACAGGTTCTTGACCATCCCCAGCATCACAATGGGATGGGTGTAATGTTTGACAGGTTCTTGACCATCCCACCCGCATCACAATGGGATGGGTGTAATGTTTGACAGGTTCTTGACCATCCCACCAGCATCACAATGGGATGGGTGTAATGTTTGACAGGTTCTTGACCATCCCACCAGCATCACAATGGGATGGGTGTAATGTTTGACAGGTTCTTGACCATCCCACCCGCATCACAATGGGATGGGTGTAATGTTTGACAGGTTTCTTGACCATCCCACCAGCATCACAATGGGATGGGTGTAATGTTTGACAGGTTCTTGACCATCCCACCAGCATCACAATGGGATGGGTGTAATGTTTGACAGGTTCTTGACCATCCCACCCGCATCACAATGGGATGGGTGTAATGTTTGACAGGTTCTTGACCATCCCACCCGCATCACAATGGGATGGGTGTGATGTTTGACAGGTTCTTGACCATCCCACCCGCATCACAATGGGATGGGTGTAATGTTTGACAGGTTCTTGACCATCCCACCAGCATCACAATGGGATGGGTGTAATGTTTGACAGGTTCTTGACCATCCCACCAGCATCACAATGGATGGGTGTAATGTTTTGACAGGTTTCTTGACCATCCCACCCGCATCACAATGGGATGGGTGTAATGTTTGACAGGTTCTTGACCATCCCACCCGCATCACAATGGGATGGGTGTAATGTTTGACAGGTTCTTGACCATCCCACCCCATCACAATGGGATGGTGTAATGTTTGACAGGTTCTTGACCATCCCACCTGCATCATAATGGGATGGGTGTAATGTTTGACAGGTTCTTGACCATCCCACCCGCATCATAATGGATGGGTGTAATGTTTGACAGGTTCTTTGACCATCCCACCCGCATCCAATGGGATGGGTGTAATGTTTGACAGGTTCTTGACCATCCCACCCGCATCATAATGAGATGGGTGTAATGTTTGACAGGTTCTTGACCATCCCACCCGCATCACAATGGGATGGGTGTAATGTTTGACAGGTTCTTGACCATCCCACCCCGCATCACAATGGATGGGTGTAATGTTTGACAGGTTCTTGACCATCCCACCCGCATCACAATGGGATAGGTGTAATGTTTGACAGGTTCTTGACCATCTCACCCGCATCATAATGGGATGGGTGTAATGTTTGACAGGTTCTTGACCATCCCACCCGCATCACAATGGGATGGGTGTAATGTTTGACAGGTTCTTGACCATCCCACCCGC